CGCCCCCCCCCCCCCCCCCGATTCCCGCGGGCACGTACCAGCTTGGCCACCTTGGCCTTGGGGCCCTTGAGCTCGAGGCCGCCGGGGCCGGAGCCGACGTGGGCGCTGGGCACGGTGCGCTTGAGGCAGAAGGAGACCTGGTAGGGCTCGGCGCACTGCAGGATGCGCAGCGCGTCCTCGTAGCGCACGTTCTCGAAGGACACGCGGGCGCTCAGCAGTTGGTCGCCTGCACGGGGGACGTGCGGGTCCATAACAGCTCCGGGATCGCCCCCTCCGCCCTGCCCCACCGGCGCTGGAGCAGCTCCGGGTCCCGGGCACCCACCTTCGCGGAGGTTCAGGGCCTTGGCGGCCGGGGACCCCTCCAGCAGCTGGGCCACGAAGAGCCCCTGCTTGCCGCCACCGGACAGGCCGATGCCACGCACGCCGGCCTCGGGCTCCGTCTCCAGGATGACTTCCACCAGCTCAGGCGCCGCGGCAGCCGCGGGCTCCATGGCGGACACGGCCTGGGCTCGGCGCTGCAGGACTCGCACCAGCTCCGCGTGCAGCTTCGCTTTCTGCGCCTGGGCCGGGGGAGAACAAGGATGGCGGCCCGGACGCCTGGGTTCCCTTCCCAGCCGGGCCACCGCCGTGCCTCAGTTTCCCCTTTCCCCCTCCAGCCTCTCGGGGTGGGACGAGGGATCCAGGGGAAGAGAGACCAGGTTGTTGGGGGAGGGACGGGGCGCAAGGGCCCTGATCCTGGCTGTGCTGCGGCTCTACCCTGGGGGGGTTGGGTCTGCCAAGGGGCAGGTCAGAGGGGAGAGAGCCTGCCCCCCCCCCCCACACCTCTGCAAGGGCCGGTCCCGGTGCTTACAGCTCTCCAGGCGCTGTCGGGCTCCCCCGGGCACAGAGACGGTGCAGACGGGCCCCGATCCTTCACCGCAGCTCCCTGCAGCAGGGAGACGGGGGCTCAGGGGCAAGTCGGGGCACACAGACAGGTGTGTATGCACGTTCCCTGGCACACGCTCGCAGACACCCCCGGCAGGCATGCACACGCATGCCCGCAGGACACCTCCCGCTCCCCAAGACGGGGCAATGGGGGCTCGGGCCCCTGCTCCCCCCCCGCTCAGCCGGGCGACTCACCCGCGAGCGGCTTCCTGCAGCAAGGACATGGCCTGAGTCTGGGCCTGGGTTGGGGCTTTCCGGCAATTCTCTCTTGGCGCCTGGAGCAAGCGGGGAAGGAGGGAGACGGAGCGGCTGCTGAGACGGTCTCCAAGGCGG